GAAATATCTTTGAAATGATGAGCCAACGGGTGATGGGTTGTCTAGTAATAATTTTAAAACTGATCCACCTTTATTTTGTAAGTGCTTCCCTAATAACTGATTTCTGTAACAATAAAGATTTAAAGAGTTTAATATAATGAAATAAAAAGCATTAATATAAATTCAGCACATCATCTTCACCAGTTATCTACCTTACTTCAGTAGAACCATTCAGTGGATGAATGTTCAGATCCTGAACAATCTTACCATAATGCTTCCTTGCCCAGATTTTCAGGTGTCGGACTTCAACTTCCATAATTTCCTCTACTGTCTAGGAGGTTATGAAAGGAATCCAATTATCAGGGGCACCTGCAGGAGGTGAGGAGGTACTCAAAAGAGTCAGGATGGTGGCTGTGACTGTAACTGAAATCCCATCCCTTTTTTACATGCACATATGTACAACATATGTAAAAAAGGAGCAGGGCAAGGATCAGATGGTTGCAGCCATCATCCTGAGTGTTTTTTGACACACACCACACACACACACACACACACACACAACCACAGATACCTGTGTCCAACAGATTTGGCATGTGCTTGGCTGGGTGAGGCTGGAAGCTTTTTTTTTTTTTTTTAATAATGCATGTTCATATTTTCACTAAAAAATATTTCACAGCATTTGTTCTGCTGATGTTGGATTTAATAATTGTGGCCCTTGAAAGTTTGTTGCTTTAATTTCCGATTTTATGTCATTTATGTAATTATAATCACTGATTTATTTACATATGTATTTATATGCCACTTACTCCATGGATGCCCAAATGCTCATTCAGTCAGAAATTAATTCCACTGTCTTCCACTGAGCTTACTCCATTCCTATGTATATCAACCCAGAAATAAATAATATTCAATTCAGCATGTCTTACAGCAAAGGAAGTTTATTGAATAACAAGCATAGTGACAAAATTAAGTTTATATAGGCCAGCACACTTGAATTCTTTTTTCATGTTATCTCTCCCCCAGATAGTAAACTTGCTGGATGAATTCTGACCCAACAAACAGCCTGATAAGGAATCAAAAGGACTGTGGCAGTACAAAGAATCATAGGTACTATATTATTTAGCTAGCCACCGTGGAAATAAAATAAACAGATACGGGTCTGATCCAATAGACTTACGTTTATTTGACAAATCTTTTTTCTTTAATCATGAGTTAGAAGCTGGAATTTCATTAAAAAAAAGTTGTGTCCACTGGGAAAAAGCCCTTTTCTATTCAAAATCCATACAGAGCACTACCCTTATCAAAATTAACCACAATCTCTCCAAAACATCTGGAGAAATCGAAAACTTGCACCCTGTTTGTAATATCTTGGCTGGTCCAATTACAGACATGTCAGTATGGAGATATTTTTGTTGTTCTTTATATGCCTCTTGTTTGCTCTGAGTTGGACTCCAGCTGGGCAGAGAAGTTGACTAAGGCATAATGTTACAAGTTTGACCTGTTAGTTGCAAGGAAGTGGACATGGTCCTCAGAGCTGTGGGTACAATCAACTGTATTTTAGACCCCTGCTCCTCTTGGTTGGCCAAGGCCTTCAGGGAGGGGGCATGTGGGTGGATCCATGTGGTGGTAAATGCCTCTTTGAGAGGGGGTGGTTCCTTCAGCTCTGAAAGAGGTGATGGTACACCCCCTGCTCAAAAGATCATTGCTGGATCCAGCTGATCTGGACAATTTTTGTCCATTTTCAACTCTCTCTTTTTAGGAAAAGTTGTTGAGAATGTCATCAGCCTCCAGCTCCAGAGGGCCCTGGAGGAAGTGAATTACTGTATCTGGACACTTTCTAGGCATGATTCAGACCAGAGTATAGTACTAAGATAGCTTTCATCATGCTTGTTGATGACCTATGGTGAGCTTGGGATGGGGGTGGTGCACATATCCTGGCTCTCCTTGATCTCTCAGCAGCCTTCAATACCATTGACCATGATATTCTTCCAGACTGGTTTAGGAAGTAGGGGCACTGTTTTATGGTGGTTCTCCTTCTCCCTTCAGGGCTGTTTCAAGTCATTTTTTGGTGGGAGGGGAACAGTCAAACACTAGGCCCATTTTGTGGGGTATCTTAAGGCTCTACTGTCTCCCCCTTCCTTTTTAATATATATGTGAAACCGCTGGGTGATGTTATCTGTTGGCATGGGATGGAATATCATCAATACACTGATGATACCCAATTGTACATATCTATCCCTGACCATCCAAGTAAAGCTGTTGAAGTTCTGTCCCGGTATATGGAGGATGTGAGGGTCTGGATGGATAAGAACAGATTGCAGTTCAGCCCTGCCAAAACTGAGTGGCTGTGGGTTTTAGGTTCCCTGGATCAGGGAATTGGAGCGTTTCCATCTTTGGTTCTGGATGTAGCGGCATTGCCTCATTCATATTTGATATGCAATCTGGGGGTCCTTCTGGACTTACTGTTCTTGCTCAAAGAACAAGTGGCAGCAATGGCTAGGGAGGTCTTTGCACAACTACATCTTCTGCACCAGTTGCACCTGTCCCTGGACCTGGAGACCTTGCTTAGTCATTCACTCCTTAGTCACCTCCCAATTGGATTATTGCAATGTGTTCTACATGAGGCTGTCCTTGAAGACCCACTGGAAGCTTCAGTTGTTTCAGAATGCAGTGGCATGGGTAGTTATGGGCACAGCTTGTGGCACCTATGTGACTCCACTACTCTGCAAACTGCCTTGGTTCCCAATAGGCTTCTGGGTGCAATTCAAGATGATTATCAACTTTAAAGCCCTACAAGGTATAAGACCAGGTTACTTGTGGGACCACCTTCTCCCAAGAATATATGCCCACCCCCCACACACTCTGGTAGGGAGGACATGCTCCAGGTTTCCTCATTTAAACACTACCATCTCATGGGACCTAGGAAACATGCCTTTTCAATGGTCTGTCTCTGTTCCCTGGATTGAGTGTCTGATTTTATAAGCCATGGAATTGGCATTTTTGTTTCTAACTCTTAAAACAGAACACTGGAATAGACTGCAGAACTGCAGATGCTGAGAAGGTTCAAATTTGCAATTAAACTGCTGGAATAATCAAGCAGCAATGGATTCTCAAATTTCTGAAACTATGAAACCTTTCCATCTTTTTAAACCCTTCTCCCCTACCTCCCTTTTCTTTCTTTTCACTATTATATGAAGAGTTCTGGAGCTTGCAGACCAGGCTGTACGGTACTTTGGATTTCATTTCCAAAAGGAACTTCAGAGTAAACAGGAATGAGGATATGACACCTAACTGCAACTCTTTAAAATACCTGGATCTTTTCTCTGGGATTACATTATTTCCTTCCACAATTGCCATGTGATGCCAGGAAAGGGTGATCTGTTTTAAGATGTTGCATTCCTACACACTCCAAACCACCTTTTGGAAATCAAACTTGAAGCTTTCCACAGCCCTATGGCAGATTGTTTTTTGATCTGACTTGGTTTAAGACTGATTTGGATGACTAAAATGGCTATCTTTACATTCTTTTAAGAGTAGAAATGTCCTGTGTTTTTTGTCTACTTTGTGCTTCAACTTCATCCTGCATGGGAGCTCATTAATCCTAAATCATAATGATCCACAGCCATCCCTTATATATCACGATTTATACACTGACAATTTTAAGTCATCACTTTCTTTGCCAAATAGCTACTTTCCCTTATACCATTTACACCAGTATACTTTTATAAATTTCTAGCTTCCTGGAGTCATACATAAAGCAGGCACTGAGTTTGTATTATGTTATCAGCTCACATTCTTGCTCCTTCACATAATATGTAGGAGTAAGAATAATTGCCTATGTCAAGCATATTTCCTGAACACTTAGCTTTACCTAAGAACAAGAAATCTGGAAAATTGCCAACTGAACCTTTTTGATCAAGCATTTATTTTACAATATTTTTATACCATTCCAATACAGACTCTGAGTGGTTCACAACACAGAACCTGAATTCCCTCTAACCCATACTAAAACAATGGTTAGATGGTTATTTAACAACTACTTGGTATGGGCCAGAATCGGTTTTATGGCCTTCTGAAACAAGAGTAGGGTAGGAGCCAGGTATATCTCTGGGAGCAACGTATTCCACAGTGTGAAAGCTAGAAGCAGGACCTATGAGTGTCCATGGGGTGAAAATGACAAAATCATTGGCTTCCACAGACACCCTAGACAACCTGTGACCCATTGGGTCATCGTTTCAGAGATATTTCCTTACCTAAACAGAGAAAAAGAATAACCAAGGGCAAAAAAGCAGCAGGAGTGTGAGTGACTTGCAACTTGCTGTTGGCTTCCCCATTGACTTTGCTTGTGGGAAGCTGGCAGGGAATGTCAGAAATCTTCCTTCCTTCCCTCCTTCCTCCCTCCCCCACATATAATATAGGCTTGTGCCATTTGCCCTCCCCACATGACTCTCAGGAGTGTCCCAGTGAAGCTGCCGCTGCCTCTTCCTCAGCTAACCAGCAGAACTGCCTGCCACTTTGCTGTGGGAGGGGTGGAACAAAGGGAGCTATGGACTATGAGGAAAACTGCTCCCCATTCCAGTGGGTCCCCAAGGGTTCTCTCTGTCAAGGGAGAAAATGGGCTCACCCTTTGACCACTGGTGACCCCAGCCAGCCCTACCTCACCAGCAGGCATCCAAGTCACTCCCTCATCCTGCCCTCAACACCCACAGTCGTTGAGAGATTTCAAATTTCTACCTCATTTCCAAAGCAGCCAGTCACCACTTACCCATCGGGCCTTGCCACCAGCTGATTGGGTGCAGGGGACAGAGGGAGGCAGGAAAGAGGTTGGGGATACACCCATGACAATCACATGAACTGGGCTCACTACAGTGGTGCAGCAGCACAGCAGTACTGAAGCAGCCACAAATTTCAATCCCATGGGAGTCATGGGTCCAGGATTTTGGATGTATTCTGTACGTTAGCCCATTTGAGGTACTTTGGTTCAAAATTTGTTGCCCTATGATGCACCATTTCACCCAGTTGAAGGTTACAGACCTGAGAGTTTTAATAGTATATAGATTGGAGCAAACCCATTCTAGATGTTCAGACTTGTGCGCCAAATCATGTTTGGTAGGGTGGCCCCATATTGATTTCTTTTCCCCCAACTTAATTGGCCAGGAATTCAGCATTACTGATTTGTGGGCTAAATTAACCCAATTTATTTCTATATTTAATAAGCTTTCCTGCAAGAACAAATAGGGACTCCACATTGTAAGACATAATTATTTCGTCTATCACTACAAACCTTAGATTCCTGCTGATATCTCAGTTTATATGTTTTAGACCAGAATTCAGACAATGAAATTTACTATTAGTACATATGAAGTGTTAGTAGGCTCCTGCTCACTCACCTGAGAAGAATATAACTGAGTCTCATGTCAACCTCCCACAGTGAGAAAGTACTATTTTCTTACCTTGGGATTACATAAATGGATTTAAAATTGTGATTCATTTGTTTTTACAGTGCAACACTTTTCATGTTTCCTTAGCTGTACCAGTTTCCATATATTTTTACCCCCCCCCCCAAATATATTTTATTGTAACTAGCCAGAAATACACTCCTTTCCTTAATTATTCTTCAGGGAGCATGAAGGGATCCAAATTCAGATGCATGCTATAGCTTCCAGTTACCTGGGAAGAGAAGGAAGCCTATGATGAACATCTGGAAAATTTCAAGTATTAGAAGAAAGATCCCTTGATCCCTAATAGCAAAAATAATTTTGTTCATCAACAATTGGGACATATGGAACCAGATTAGCTATGGAAATTACAGTTGTTCAAGCTGGCTTGCTATTTGGGCTAACAGCTTTGTAAAACATTTATTTTCCATTGTATTTTATCCTATAGTACCACTGAACTGTTTTGTCTCTAGTCTTTTTCATTATCTCTGACATATGTACAGACAGACAGTATACCTGGGTGCTCTTCACAATGAACAAATACCATTTCTAATATTATAGGGCATGTATTGTTCAATTTTTTAAAAAATCTACAGTCCTACATTTCAATGCAGAAGATACTTCTCCTTTGCACTTTGACTATTCTGAAGACTTTTATCAAAAAGAAAAATACCCTTGTTAATTCCAGACATCAATGAATAGCACTGTCTAATTGAGAGGTTTTCAAATTTTTTAGTCTGTGGAATCTCTTTATTAAAATAAACATTTCCCAGAACTGTTGATCAAGAGGCAAAGCTCCAGTGGTAGACAACTGATTGTGTTCAAATGAACTTTTTTTTTTTTTTTTGCCTTTTTTGTCTCTCACATAACCCCATCAACTTCTCAAGTTGAAAAAGCTTGGCCTATTTGTCTGGAGTCCTCCTAAGAACCTTGCATTTTAAAAATTAATGGCATTTACCTGACAACATATAATATGCTTTACAATGTCACTGTGCACCTTCTACTTGAAAAAGAATCAGTGTGGATTTAATTAAGTCAGAGAGGAGTGGATCTTACCATACTAAAATGTTGCTTTACTAATAAAACAGCTGGTAAGGGACAGCTTGAAATGGTTCTTTGGCTCCTTAGCCCCACAACAGGTGAGCAACATTTGTGCTCCTGCAGGCCACATCTGATGACTGTTCAGAGGGACAGACATACATGCATAAATCATCTCTCAATGTAATGGCTTAAGACTGCCATTAGCAGTGAGGAAACAGCAATCTATGTCATGATGCTCAACTAAAGACTGATTAACTGGTGGTGAGGGACAAATAGCCAGAACTCCACAGTCTGCAGTAATAGGGGGCAAGACTCTAGCTCTCCCTTCACAGTTGCCAGAAGAATCTAAAGAACTTGCCTTCCTTTTAAAAAGCTTTGAGGCAATAAGAGAAAGTGTCTAATAATTGTGGATCTGTTGCACTGTCCACTCCACTTACCCAGTGCTGCAGATGATAAAAGTAGGTGAATAGAGCAATAGAACAGCAGGGCATAGGATTTCATTTTCTCTTGTTACTCTGCAGCTTAAAGGGGCCAGCATAAATAATCCTAGATTTATTCTAAGAGTAGCACAACTATTTCTTCTGCCCAAGTAAATGTTATGTACTATAGAGGTATCTCAAAGATTTGCACTCCAATCACATAATTATAAGGAGTTAAAACATCCAATGAGTTTCTTGTAATTTTCTGCAAATAAGATGCCTTATTGGTGTTTCAGTTTTGAATAAATAACCTCAAAATTTTACAAAGTTATTTGTAACCAGTTTTTATTGTACAGTAGATTCTATACTTAATGAATATAGACTCTTTGTATCTTTTTTTCTCCCCAGCCCTCACATGCTGTATTATGTGATGCCCTTCAGAGGAAATTCTTCTTCCTTTACAAGAAAAGGCATTAATTCAATGTTAACTTTTTTCTTTTATATCATAAGGATTTTTGTGTGTGCACATAGTTCTTTTTCATCTTTTTTAAAGCACAGTTTTAGTACATTTTTGCAACTTTGGTGATCATTCAATATATTTCTGTTTGGGGTTCAGGTACTCTCTGTCAAAGGGTATTATCACTGAAGTTGCTTTTTAAATTACTTTTCATCTCTTCTAGATAGTATGACTTTATTCTTCATGTGCCTTTTTATGCTTGGTCTCAAAACAATACAACTTTTTCATAACCACTATGTTCCTAACAGTGAAATCCAGACTTGTTAACTGGAAGTTCACCATTTTTTTCTCCTGTGGCCTGAAATGTTCATTATATCATTTGTAAAAAATACACACTTTGGCAACAGAAGAACTCTGAAGCTTTTATTTACTTCTTCAGGTTTTTTTAAACAAAACATTAAGACTGGGGTTCTTTTGTCAAAGAGGTGGTACCAGAAAATTCACACATTTTCCTCTTTTCTAATTCCTTTACTACAGGTCACATTCCTATTTTGAAATATGATGCTCTGGTACAGCAAGGCCAATTAGATTGGGTGCAATCCTAAAATGAAAACTGCTTTTGAGTTCCCTAGAATATAGTGTTCCTTCTTTGTAAGGGCTTGATAGAATGGTAAAGTATAAGTGCCTTACTTGATTGCGCTTTGGTTTATATGAAAACATTTTTTCAATGCCATTAAGAGCTCTTTTTCAAGGTATGTTTACGGACATTTCTCTAGTTCTTGAGTCAGCAGAAGAATAAGCCAGTATAATTTGCTCTATCCTGACAGCTAAAATCTAATCTGCCTAAACAACGAGGCTTGCAGGTGATTTTGTATGGTTTTACTTAAGGACAATATACAGTTAGTCCTTGACTTATGACCACAATTGGGACCAGAACTTCTGTCGCTAATGGATGCGGTCGTTAAGTGAGTTGCCTGCGATTTTACAACCTTTTTTGCTGCAATCGTTAGGCAAATCACATGGTTGTTAAGCAAATCTGGCTTCCCCCATTAACTTTGCTTATTGGAAGCCCCCTGGGAAGGTCACAAACAGCAGTCACATGACCCCAGGATGCTGCAACTGTTGTAAATACATGCCGGTTGCCAAGTGCCCAAATTTTGACCATGTGACTGTGGGGATGCTGTGATGGTCATAAGTGTGAGTACCAGTTGTAAGTCACTTTTTTCAGTGCCATTGTAACTTTGAACAATCATTAAATGAATGATTGTAAGTCAAGGACTACCTGTAAAGGCAGTGATTGGTAGTTCTGTCCAGCTTCAGTTTCCCTCCCACCCAGCATCACCAGTTAGCTAGAAAAATAATAACATCAGATAGATGATGTTAGGGAGAAGTCTTTTAAATAAAAGGTTTTGGCTGTTAATCTGGCTTGAATCCTTGCAGGTCTAGTGTTGGAAATTAGCCATGGGCAATAGTCACCACCTCGATATTCTCTGGGAATATGAAGCATAGGTATGAAAGATGCAAGACATACATCCTAAGTATTAGTCTGAAAGAAAGGAACCATAATTATTATGTGGTCTTCCCCAACCTGGCAGTTCTCAGTTGTGTTGACATGGCTGCCTTGAGAACCCACAGCTAACAAACCATACTGAGGACAGTTAAGACATAATATGGCTTGTTTAGTTCTGGCTTGGAGCAATAGGTGAACCCAGCCAACTGTAGTTTATCCCTGTTAAACCGTAATTTAGCCCAATGTATGCCCTAAGTTAAAGGTGTTTTCAACTTGAGAAAAATTAAGATTAATGTTAGGTACTTAAGGATACTACTGATCTTAATTTGTTAAGCAAAAACCTCTCTTCCTCCTTCCTTCATATAAGAAATCCTTAGTTTAAATCCTGGTTTAAAACAATTATGACTTAATATTATACATGTAGTAGGCATAGTGGCTTTGGACCTGGCAGAGGACAATTTCTCTGAGGATGAAAACTGTATCACACAGATTAAGGCTACCTCCTCCATCTGCAGCTGGGAACCAGTCCCAGTCTAGAGCCCTCATGACTGAAGTTTTACTTAACAAAACACAAGCATAATACCTGCATTTGCTTCATGCATGAATTCTTCCAGATGCAGCCAAGGCAGAGTATACTGCAGTAATGGTGCCTCAGGGTGACATAGGCCTCAACTGCAGCATAAGGAGCAGCACAGATAGAGGCAAGCATATTCAGACTTCAGTTTCATCCTAAGTAACTAAGTGCAGCCTTCCCAGCCTAGTATCCACCAGATGTGTTGGATTTCAACTCCTATCATTCCCAATCAGCATGACCAAGGACACCAGGTAGAGGGAGGCTGATCTACTGATACTCAGACCTTTTAAAAAATGAAATGAAAAATGAGTGACTTTTCTTACTCAAGAAGGGTATTGATGCAATTTTCTCCTGGGATTGGAACAATTTACTTCCTTCTTATCCAGGCTTCAGATTTGAGAAAGGACAGGATTGTCAGTTTAGGCCGATACATCCCCAGTTATATGACCAAGAATAAATAGGGTAACATTGATGTTCTTACCCGTAAAGCCAAATTGTCCTTACAGTGTAGGCTGATTCCACACTCATCAGTAATTTCAGAAAGATCTTCATCCTCAAACTCTTCTAGACTGATGTCATGGGTGAGCCTAGACAAGGCAAAGACCATGCAGTTATCCATGAGAGAAAACAAGCAAATAAAAACTTACAAACTGTTGCTTGGGCTAATGTGTAACCTGGAATCATAAAGAGGATCAGAATGCTCTGTACAGAGCTTTATTAACAATAATCGGAAAGGATGGGCAGCATTCAAATGTTTTAAATACTGTAAATTATTAAGTAGGGACACTAGACATATTTCTCCTACTACAACAATTAGGTAACAATCTTCCTGCAAATTGTTCTTTGTGAGTCTTTAACTTTCCTCATTATTCAAGATCAAGAGGTTGGGCCCACAACTTGAATCAGGAAAAAAACACTTCTTCAAAACGTTTTTGCACATGCATGCTTCCAAGTCATGTGTGCAAAGAAGAAATTTGCACATGGAATATGCACATTTAGGAGTTGGGATGAGAAAGTTTTAAGTATTAAATTTATCTGCAGCTGGTAGAAGTTTGATTCACAGAGAAGCTGTATTAACATGATTCTCTGAAGCTACTTCCACACTATCATTTGTTCACACACGAATTCTCAGAAGCAGTTGAAGAACAGAAATGCTAAAAACAAAGGGTGAAAATCATTACTTGAGCTGCCACAGGACCTCCAGCAACAAAAATGCCCTCATCCCCACTTCATACTGAAGAGAAATAAAATAATCCTTACTTCATATTGAGTTCATCTATCTGGTCTACAAAAACTCTGAGTTTACGGGTTGTGTGTGTGTGTGTTTGAACAGCCATCAAGCCGCTTGCTTTTCTCCTTGAAAAACCTGCTAATGCAGTTGCATTTGGAACCAGGAGGAGGGGTGAGACAAGAATCTCTGCAACAAAGGGAACAGCTTACCCACAGAGCCTCATACTCTTAAAAAGCAAAGTTGCCTTGCAGTGGTATCAAGTGCACCACAGCTGAGCCAGAAATAAATCGGCTCAGCTACTGAAACACCCAGGAACGACTTCATGAGATCAAAGGGGCATGGAGACACTTCTGGGTGGTCAAAATGCTGTGTGTAAAAATACCTCTCTTACATCAAAACCAGATCTGTACTTGAGACCTTTTAAGAAGCAGCAAGGGCAGTTGTTTCCCAAAATGCAACTGCTGTACAGTACTTATCTGCCCAATTTATAACATATGCCCAAGATACACATTTTGCAAGTACAAAAGAAGCAGGATGTGCTAAAAAGGCCATTGGGTTTTGGGATCCATGGCACTATAGATGCATGTTCTGGTTGTTGCTGTATATCTTGTTTAGTCCAGTTTTCTCTCAGTCAGGGTTGATAGGATCAAAACATAGTTTCTTCATTCCTACATACAGTTTCAGTGTTTCTGAAAGTAAACAATCCTTTCCTGACCAGCAATCCCTTGCACAAAGCAGGGATGCTCTCATCCTCCTGTCCTCTCTGTGACAAACTGCTTCAGTCCATTTCACAAGCCCATTTAAGCAGACATTAATCAGTTTCAGATCTGTCTAACCAGTTTCACACTATAGAAAATGCTCTGCATTCATTTTTTCTCCTTTAGATCTATTATGTACACCTCCCTCAGCAGTAACTATCAGAGGAAATTGATACTACTGCAATGTACAAGAACACTGTACTCAGTAGTGCGGGGCAGGGTTCTTCAAACAAGGTTCTATGGAACTAGCATTTGGCAAGAAGTTGATATACATGAAAGGCACACATGCGCGCACACACACATAATGTAGCCAGTTTTCTATCACTAAAGCTTATAGAGCTTAGCCTATTGATGAGGGTTTCGGGGTTTTTTTTTGTTTTTAAACTAACAGGTTCCACAACCTGAAAAAGTGTGAAAACACTTGGTGTAAGGAAGCTACAATTGCCCAAAAGAATAGCCACAGAAGCAATCAAGGGACAGAACCAAATGTGTGAGGGGAAATAACTGTAGAAGACAGATGGGGGTGTACATTTTGTGTTTTATGAGTGAAGGTCCATGTAGGTCTGCTCCATATTGATCTAGTGCCTAAAAGAAAATACTGTTTAAAATTGTGCAGCTATTCTGTCTTAACCTACCCCTGTCTCTGACTGAGCAAGCTGCAGCCCACCAGATGCTACTGAACTACAAGGTTTATAATCTGTGACTTCAAGCCATATTAGCATTCTATTGCCAGACTTCAGAAATACCTGGAATGCTACGGCTTTCCCACCACTGCTGCACTGCACTTCTACGAATAGAGAGATATAGGGCAATGTCAGCAAAATTATATCTTTCAGACAAACTTGAACTTGAATTAATGTATTTAAGGTGAATCTATGCATTTATTGCCAATAAAGAGAAGAGACAAGTAAATCAAAGAGCTTTTAAATTGTCAAACAGCAGTTGCTCCTGGTTCTATGATGGTTTTATTTTAAACAAATTCACCCACTTAATTCTCAGAAATGAAGCTAATATTTTCTTTGAAATCAGGAAAAGAGAGCTCATATATATATTAGCAAAGCATGATTTAGTATTATAAGACTGAACTTCTGTGAGTTTTGGGCACACATGTTCCCCTCACCTAAGGTGAGAGAGATCACTAGTTTCCATTTCACGTTATCAACAGCACAGTATGGCATTCAAACCAGACAAGCGGGGGTTAAACTTATCTATAATTGTTGAAAAAAGCCAAGTTCAGAAATAAGACTGAATCTAGCATATCCACAGATTTCTTGGGATTGGATGAAACAGAAACTGAGTTTAATCTATAATATAAACAAAAGCTTCTAAATATCACATTAAGGCCAAATGTGTGTGTGTGTGTGGGGGGGGGGGTTAAGGTGCCTTAAAACCTAACAGGCTCATTTTTTTGAGAAATTTTAGCTCAGGGCAAATTTGTAAAATCTAGAGTTCTTTAAATTTG